TTAAATTTGGGAGGTCTGATTTTTTAAAGTTCTTTATATATTCTAGATAGTAGACTTTTGTCTGAGGAACAGCTGGTAAAAATTTTTTCCCACACTGTAGGTTGTCTCTTAGCTCTGGTGGTGGTTTCTCTTACTGTGCAAAGCTTTTTAATAAGATGAGATCCCAGTTGTTGATTCTTTGTGCTAGTTCCCATGCGACTGAGGTTTTGTTCATAAATCTTTTCCTTTGCCAATGTCTTCAAGAGTTCTACCTAACCTCTTTCTAGAAGGTTCAGTGTTTCTGTTTTAATATTTAACAGGGTTGTGTTGTTACAGGTGCCATTGTCACTGGTGGATGTGACAGTAGCCTTCAGTAGGGAGGAATGGCAGCACTTGGACCTTGCTCAGAGACACCTGTACTGGTACGTGCCACTGGAGAACTACTGCCACCTGCTATCTGTGGGTAAGCACTGGTGCCCTATGCATGTGCCAGGGCCTTCAAATGGATTTCCATGCTCAGCTGCTGAGTGCTCTAGGACATCTGAAGTGTGTCACGGTGTCATCCTTGATATGGCTCAGTCTTCAGTCTCTTTCAGTTCTGTGATTATTTCTCCATTCCCAATCAAACGTGGGGACTTTCTTGAAGAACAGATGGGAAGTGTCATGGAAAGGCTTCTGAAGCTGTGTCAGCTGGCCCCAGTCCTGTACCATGTCCTGTTACTTGGGTACCAAGTTCCCAAAGCAGAAGCCATCTTCAAGTCGAAGCAGGGAGAGGGCCCATGGCTGTTGGAAGGGAAGCCCCACACGAGAGCTATTTATGTGGGTGAATGTGACCCAGCCAGATGGGGGACATGGAAATACTGTAAATGTCACTCAAGTGTTTCTTTAAATTTGTGAAGATGTGTAATCTTGAAAGTTCTAAATTTGTGAATTTCATTGGAAGTAATCAACAGTAGCCCTCGGATACTTAAATACCTTCTCTATGTATGATTTTTGCCACATCTATTTTCTCCTCTTTGCTTTGCCCTCTAATCACTGCACCCTAAAAAGATGTACCATCCTAAATTTTTTTTCACCCTTTGTTACTGGTGACTGAACCCAGGAACTTTGCACGGAGCCACATCCCCAGCCCTTTTTTATTTTTTGAAAGTTTGTTATTGTGTCACTAATTTACCCAGGCTGTGCTCAAACATGTGATCTTCCTGTCTCAGCCTCCCAGAGTGCTACGATTATATGCACAGAATACAGACTACTGCACAGTCAATTTACACATGAAGTTTCCCTTATGGGGTGTGAGGGTTCTCAAGGATATGTGAAGTGAGAGTCTGCCTAATCATTCAGTATTCTCAGCCTGATTTTTCTTTTTGGTGCTGGAGAAGGAATCCAGGGCCTCACCCATGTTAAGTGTGCTCTACCACTGAGCTACCATTTGGTCCAGTCTTCATCCTTTGCCTCGATAGCATCATAATATTCTCAGATTGTCTGCCCTAATCTTGGCAACAATGCACATGGGATCTTGCTTTCCCAGTGTTCCCACTAACAATTAGCAGTACCAGTGTTTCTCAGTTTGGGGCCAACAATGGGTATAAAGTGGTATCTCATTTTTAATTTTTTATAGTACTGGGATTGAACCCAGGGCATTCACAATGAGCTACACACTGGACCCTAATTTATTTTTATTTTGAGGCAGGTTTTGCTAAATTGCTAAATTCTCCAGGCTGGGATTAAACCTGTGATCTTCTGCTTCAGCCTCCCAGAGTGCTGGAATTATAGGCATGTGCCACCACAGAAGCCTCTTTTTGCATTTTTCTAGTAACTAGTTTGAGTACGTCATTATTTACCTGCTATCATTTTTTTCTACAAATGCAGTTTTCTTGAAGACCTTTCCTGCTGTTCACATTTTTCTTCATGTCCATGCAATGATCCAGAGGTGCCAAATATATATATTTTGGTGGTGGCACTGGGGATGGAACCCAGTGCATCACACATGCTAGGCCAGCACTCTACCACTGAGCAATGTTTCCAGCTCTTTTTCTTTTTTTATATTGAGACAGGGTCTCTGTAAGTTGCCTGGGTTGGGCCAAACTTGTGATCCTTCTCTTAAGTAGCTGAGATTATAGGTGTGAGCAAACACATCCAACTTGTACTGAAATTTGATCCTCAGCACACTGGAAATCAGAACCATCACCTCATGTATCAGAAACACTTGTCACCTCCCACATTTTGTCATACTCTCTCAGTGTTTTTTCAGTGTTCTTGCTAGCCTTTTTTTAATTAATCACTTGGCAGTTCCTACTGCTTTTCCTTTTTCTGCAAATCTTGTTTTGCTTTCTTAGTTCTTCTCAGTTCATTTCTAAGTTCATCTTCACAAGTTTCAGTGAGATCATTCAAAATCAGCTCTGTATACTGTATTCTCCTGTCTGGATTATAATTATAGTCAGCCCTCCACGTCCACAGGTCCCACATCTGTGGATTCAATCCACCAGAAATGGGAAGTATTGTTTTTAAGAAACTTTGTCTTTGCTGAACATGTATATTCTTTATTCAATTTCCTCATTCCTTAAACAACATAGTATAACAGCTATTTACACAGCATTCACATTCTATTAGGTATTATAAGTAACCTAGAGCTCATTTTCACTGTATGGGAGGATGTGCTTAGGTTCTTTACCAATTCAGTGTCATTTTATATAAGGAACTTGAGTTTCTGTAGAATTTGATATCTGCAGACAGTCTGGTAACCAGTCACATCCAGATACCAAGGGAAGACTGTACTGTATCCCTGGTCATATCTGCTGATTTCATTCTTTTCACAAGTTCATTTTAAGTGCTAATGACAGATTTCATTATCTAAAACTTTGGATGTATTTTGTCATGAGATGTCTGAGACAAACCTACAATTAATTACTCCCTGTTCTCTAATATGTGACAATTAAACTTTTTTCAGAGATAAACAACATAACCACATATTCCTAATTCAGTGTTGTTTCTCAGTATTTTCCATATCCTCTGTTCAGCTCCATTCTTTTTTTTTCATTTTTTTCTACTCATGTCTACTACATGTGATAGTTTTTCCTGACTCTGACCCTCTATTCTGTGCTCTGTCTATTCAGATGATACCTGTTCCACCTTGTGAGCAAATTTCATCGGTCCCATGCAATGGCTCCTTTGTTTTATGGTGCTGGGAATTAAACCCTGTGTCTCACTCAGGCTAAGCACACACTACCACTGAGCTACACCACAGCCATGCAATTGGTCTTAATGATTTCATCATGCTGTATATGTCTCTCTCCTTCTTCTCTTCTTCCATCTCAAGCAACTCAAAGCAAAGCATGGGATTTTTGATTGAGGGGTAACAGGCGTTTACTTCTATTATTTTAGAAAGTCTTCAGGATTAAGAGCTTGTTTCCTTTTTAAAACATTATTAATTTTTAAACTGGAAATACAAGTATATATACCAATCATGTACAACATGATATTTTGAATTCTGTATACATTGAGTCTGTTTCTTTTTTTTTCTTTTTTTTTTTTTGGTACTGGGGATCGAACTCAGGTCCTTGCGCTTGCGCAGCAGGCAATGAAACCACTGAGCTAAATCCCCGGCCCAAGTCTGTTTCTTATTGTATGACTCAGGGTTTGATGGGGAGAGAGAAAACTCACACTAATGTGAATAAGGGAAGTTTAACATAAATATCTTCAGCTATAGTGTGAGTAGAGTGTTTCAGTGTTAGGATGTAAAGAGACTTCCAAAAATAAAGGAACATAAGACACAAGGTACAGCTAATCCCTTTAGGACTGAGTAGCACTCCATTTCTTACACTATACTTGAGTCTGGGTAACTTATAAGGAAAAGCGGTTTATTTAGCTCACAGTTTGGAAACTGAAAGTCCATGGTCAAATCATCTTATGGAGATAGCCTCTGGTGAAGGCCCCCTTGGCTGATTCACCATATAGTGGATAACATTATGGCGGAAGCACATTTGAGCAGGAGAATTCCTCTGGCAAGAAAGAAAGCCACAGAGAAACCAGGAAAGGCCCATTATTGCTCTTTATAACAATCCCCTCTTGAGGACTAACCAGGGTCCCATGAGATCCACACTAATACCTTCCAAGGTTACTGGCCCCAGTGACCCAGGCCCCTCCCACTAGGTTCCACCTCTCAAACGTCTACCACCTCTGAACACCACAACCCTAAGGTCCAAGGTTCCAACACATGAATCTTTGGGGAACATACTTAAAGCAGATCCAAACCATAGCAGGCTGGATTGAGTACCCAGGGACAAGGCTCCCCTATTCCCCGGGGCTGAGATCCTAACCTTGTTGGGAGGATACAGCCATAGCTTATGGGATGGCAGAAGAGTTGCTGTGGTTCCATGCTGCCAGAACTTGCTGGAAGTCTGCCCTATCCATTCCAGAAAAAGCTGTTTGTAGGGAGATGTCTCACTGGAGGTATTCTATTATAAATCATCCCAGAGGAGCTCCAGAGTAAGGTGCTAGGCGCTGAGTACTGCTGGCTGCAATTCAGTGCAGTAGCTTAGAGCTGGAGAAGCTACTAGTGCTACAGGCTCTGGGTACTTGTAAAGTCCGGAGTTGCAGGAGCTGGGTGCCAGAGAATCATCCATAGTATGGGAGCTCTGCTCAGAGAAGCCCCCACACTCTAAGACCTGGGAGCCAGGCACGCTGAGTGTGTATTAAGAGCCAGGTGCCAAAGCCACCTGCACTACTGGAGCCTATTGCTAGACAAGCAGCCTTGGCTGCAGGAGCCTGCTGAGTGAGCCCATAGAACCAGGAAGCAAAGCTGCCTGCTGGCAGTGCCTCTCTATCACCCTCTACTGACAAGGCTTAACGTTATGCTGGCTGGCAAGGGAAAAGATACCTAAGAAGCCTCAGGTCCATTGTTGTGGAGCAGCTGAGAAAGGGTGAGTTTGGAACCAAGAGGCAGTAAATTGATACATATTTTTCAGAGTTCTGAGGAGAAATATATAGAAAAATTATAAAAGACAAATTTATTGAACACGGGGAAATGGAAGCAGATACTTTATTATTTTCAGAAGAAATTTTCAAGCATCTGTTCAGAAGAATTCAAAGTTTTGTACATTATACATGGAAAGAGAAGAAAACTGCATGAAATATTAACAGTCTTGGGCTTTGTGTAGTAGTCTTTCCTATTATAATATTAAATGATGTCAAATCAAGTGTCAATGTAAGTAGTCCAGAGCCTTCTTTATGAATTCATAGCAAACAAAGTTTCGCCAGAGGTGTACTGTGATTGGAGCTAATGTTAAGGATAATCTATTGGAATATGCACTCAGAAGACACAAATAACAAGCTAAATATAGTTATGTATCATCTCCTGTGTAAGAATTCTGAGATGGATGGGTCCAGGTCAGCAGGTTAACTCTGATCCTGACAGGTCATTCAGGGACCTTGTTCCAAGTCATTGCCTTGCCATCTCCTAGGACATAGTTGTCAGCTGTACACTTAACGCTGGATCACTGTGGGGTCCATTGGAAAAAGGGAAGAGGGAAGAAAGGTCTGTGCAGTGTCATGCAGCCTACCTGGAAGCAGTGCTTATTACCCCTTCTCACTTTCCATTGGTGGAACAAGGTGAGGCTGGTACATGTAGGCCCAGCTATATTCTTTTACTACCAAAGAAGAGGAGAAGGGATTTGGGTGAAAGGCTTGCAGTTTCTCCCTCGGCTTTCCTCCTTTTCCTAATTTACTCCGTACTCCTCCACCCAGGGCCTCTCACATACCCTAGACTAGTATTCTATAATGGAGTGACATTCCCAACTTTTTTCAGATTTTTAAGACAAAATCTTGCTAAGTTTCCCAAGCTGGTCTCGGACTTGTGATTTTTTTGCCTCAGCCTCCCAAGTAGCTGGTACTACAGGTGTGTACCACCATACCTGGCTCTTTTACACTTCTTGCTAGAAGCATGGATATCTTCACCCAAGAGAAGTTTGCTGCTAGTTACAGACTTGGAGCACAGACATCTATTTACCATTTGTCAAGATGGTGATGTTGTAATAATTTTTCCACTGATTTCAAGGATTGGTGTTGGAGGCATAGAAATGTAATATCGATGCTCATAATGGTCTAGAGGGAAAAGGAAGAGGAAATAGAGAGTTCACCAAGGTTTTGAGCTGATACATAGTCAGCATAAAAATTCTGGAATATTGCTTCCGTGTAAAGCTTCCCCTTAAAAGGCTTTAATTTCTTCTTCTGATTACATTTTATCCAGATCCCCTACATAGCAGAACCAGATTCCTACGGTTCAAATCCCATGTCTCCCAAGTATAAGCAAATTGATCTTAAAGTTACATAACCTCTCTGTGACTCTCTTTTCTCATCTGTAAAAACACAGATGAGCAGGGAGTTGAGCTGTAATCCAAGCTACTTCAGAGGCTATAGTAGAGCCAGAGATTTAGCTCAGTGGCTCCGCTGCCTGCCTCACAAGCCTAAGGTCCCAAGTTTGATCCCAGGTACCAAAAAAAACAAAACAAAATAAACCAAAATTTTAAAAAACACCCAAAACAAAAAGTTGCCATCAGAGGCTATGGTAGAAAGATGGCAAGTTCAGGGCTAGCCTGGGCAACTTGGTGAGACCCTGTCTTAGAAATCATGGTGGAGTGGCTGGGAATGTAGTTCAGTAGTAAACAGCTTGCCTAGTATATATGGGTTTGGTCCCCAGCACTGCAAAAAGCAAAACAAACAAACAAACAAAAACATACACACAAGTGATCATGGAAGCTCCCTCATAGGGTTCAGTGAAGAGTCAATGAACTACTACTGTATGGAAAGCACTTGGCACAGTGTCTGTTGCATCATAAATGGTATAGAATCATTCACATCTATTAAGTGTCCTATAAGAATTTTCTTTTACTACACTATTGTTAGACTCTTCTCTTTCTCTGTCTTCAACGTGTCTGAACTACATGGACCCTCCAATCCTGTCCTCTTCTACTTAATCCTTACATCATTTTCATTTTTTGCTTTTTCTTTTTAGGTGAAGATATCAGGAAAAGTCAACAACAGGGAATTTCTGGAGAAGTTTCATTCCACTGTGAGAGATTCGATAGACTCACAGGAGAAAATTTGTTGTGTTCCATCTTAGAACTGTGGCAAGAGAAAGACCAGCTACAGAGATATCAGGAAAACCAGATTAACCCTTTAAATCATTTCATAGTATTTATTAAGGAGAGGGGCTATGAATGTCAAAACATCGAAAAAATAATTCATTTGACTACCAAGCTTGTTCCTTCAATTAAAAGACTCCATAACTGTGACACATTTGTAAAGAGTTTGAAGCATACTTTAAACTCACATAGTCATAATAGAAGCACTACAACAAAGAACCATGATAAGTTTTTGGGAGATGGTAGCAGTTGTTCTTCCTCTAGAAAGAATGAGCATACCAACACAGGAGCAAGTTCCTGTGAATGCAATCATTGTGAAAAATGCCTCAATCACAAACAAGCTTACATCCACGGGCAGCAAAGTTATCCTGGGGAGAAACTTCATATATGTACTGGATTTGGAAAGGACTTCACCCAGAAGTCACATCTTTTTGAACATGAAAAAATTCATGCTGGAGAAAAATCCTGTGAATACAGCAAAAGTGAGCAAGTGTGCAATCTGAAGGCACAGATTGAACCTCACCAGGGTGTTCACAGAGGTGAGAAGCCCTACATACGTCCTCAGTGTGGGAAGTCCTTTACCCTCAAGTCTAATCTCATTACTCATCAAAAAATCCACACTGGGCAGAAACCCTACAAATGCAGCCTGTGTGGTAAAGCCTTTTTCCAAAAATCCGATCTCTTCAGACATCTGAGGATTCATACAGGAGAAAAACCTTATCAATGCAGTGAATGTGGAAAAGGCTTCTCCCAGAATTCAGACCTCATTATACATCAGAAAACTCACACTGGAGAGAAGCACTATGCATGTGGGGAATGTGAGAAAACGTTCACAAGAAAGTCAGCACTCCGGATGCATCAGCGGATCCACACGGGAGAGAAACCTTATGTGTGCACTGAATGTGGGAAGGCCTTCATCCAGAAATCACACTTCAACATGCATCAGCGAATTCACACTGGTGAAAAACCTTATGAATGCAGTGACTGTGGGAAGTTATTCACCAAAAAGTCACAACTCTATGTGCATCAGAGAATTCACACAGGAGAGAAGCCTTTTATATGTACAGAGTGTGGAAAGGACTTCACTCATTGGACAAGTCTTACTACACATCAGAAAACTCACATTGGAGAAAAACCTTATATGTGTGCAGAATGTGGGAAGGCTTTTACTGATCAGTCTAATCTCATCAAACACCAGAAAACTCATACTGGAGAGAAACCCTATAAATGCAATGGCTGTGGAAAAGCATTCATATGGAAGTCACATCTCAAAATCCATCAAAAATCTCATATCGGAGAGAGACAATATGAATGCAAGGAATGTGGGAAAGCATTCATCCAGAAATCAACACTAAGTGTGCATCAGAGGATCCACACTGGAGAGAAACCCTATGTCTGTCCTGAGTGTAGGAAGGCCTTCATCCAGAAATCGCACTTCATTGCACATCACAGGATTCATACTGGGGAGAAGCCATATGAATGCAGTGACTGTGGAAAATGCTTCACTAAAAAGTCACAGCTCCAGGTGCATCAGAAAATTCACACAGGTGAGAAACCCAATGTGTGTGCTGAATGCAGAAAGGCTTTCACTGACCGATCCAATCTTATAACACACCAGAAAATCCATACTAGGGAGAAACCCTATACATGCAGTGACTGTGGTAAAACCTTCATCTGGAAGTCATGCCTCAATATACATCAGAAGTCCCACACTGGGGAGAGACACTATGAATGCAGGAAATGTGGGAAAGCATTCATCCAGAATATGACAATCAGTACGCATCAGATAATTCATACAGAAAGGAAGCCGTACACTTGTGCAGAATGTCAGAAGGCCTTCACTCACAGGTCAAATCTCATTAAACATCAGAAAATACACAGTGGAGAAAAATTTTGTAATAAAGCTGGTGACTGAAAGCACCTTCACGTGCCAGTTCCAGCTGCGTGTGCATGAGATAGGCCTGAATGGAACAAACAATGCCAGGCACTGCAATCACTGGAGGTTAGGATGGGGGTGGGTATGAGAGGCTGTGGCTACTAGAGTGAGCAGAAGACAAACAAAGCCAAATATCCTTCTACTGACTAGAAAAATAAATTCCAGGATCACCACCATTGACATGCAGTTAAATGCAGAGTGACCTTCAAATGAAGCACTTGAATAAATAGCAATAGTCATGTTTGGCTACATGATTGATACAGGGGCTCTCATGCTCCTTCAGATGGTAAAAATAAAGACCTGAGGAAATGAGTTATCATCTCTTATGTTTCAATTTTCAGAAAAAAGACATTAATTCAGCACTGATTAGTTCTTTGTACCTTGGTCCATAAAAGTACTCAACATTGGCCAAAATTGTTTCACATTTTTCTGTTGAGGAGAAGAGTTTGCATTGTCCAAGCACTTTGCAGGGCCCTGAAGTCAAAGACAAATATATTTGGGAATGCAGATCTATGAGTAGAACTGGAAGTTTTCAGTGATTGATATTTAAGACAGGAAAGATTTTCATGAACTATTCTTTCTCTTCCCATGGGAAGTCACATGTATATTTTTTAAAAAAGGAAAAACAGTTTTTAAACTTAAAGTTTGACTTTATGAATTGGGAAATTAGGCATATCTCTAGCCTGTCACAGGAATAGAGCTGTTAAAGGATATAGACATCTACAGGTGGCAGTTGTTCCCTTATTAGTTCCCTGCCGTGGCACCAGGTGATTCACTTGCTGCATGCCTTCTCACCTGTGCACCTAACTCTATTATTTCTGTAAGCCTCAGACCACATGCTATGATTCCCTGAGTGACTGACATAAAGACAATAAAAGCGAGTGATGCCATTCCGACCTTTCAATCTTGTCTACTGATGCCACTACTTTCCTCAAAATTCCTGTTTGAAAAAGAATGGTTGAGAGACTGGGTTTTCATACATAAAATGTTGTTTTTCTCCCAATTTGGTTAGGATATTCATTTTCTACATGCACATTAGCATTGGTAACACTTCTTTAGAAAGAGCACTGCTGTTTTAAAAGAGACACTTGCTCATTTTCCCTTAAATATTTTTCATGGCCTCATAAGAAAAAGGCTTTCTACATGCAATTTTATTGTACTTTTAAATGTTTTTATAAAGTATAATGCATATGAAAGTGGCTATATCACAAGCTTGAAGCTCAATGCATTCTAAAGAAATGAACTTATTCAAACAAAGAAACAGAACATGACCAGGGCCCCAGAATCCTTGCCTGCAGTCTCTTTCAGGAAGTCCCCCAGACACATACACTAAGGGTAAACAATATCCTCACTTTAAAAGCATGTGTTCACTTGGCTTGTTTTATATTTTATACATACCTTTTACATACATAGACTGTTTAGTAGCTTTCTTTTATCATTCATGTTATGAATGTGACTCACCAATTTGGTAGCACGTAGTCATCAATAACTCCATTTTCATGTCATATATTCCATTGTATGAATATATTGCAAAATATCTATCCACTTTTGATAGACCTTTGTGTTGTTTGCAACTTGGGGTTATTAGGAACAGTGCTGCTATTTACTGGTGAACATATATATGAATTTCAGTTAGGTATATACTTAGGAGTTGAACTACCCAGTCATAGTATATCCATATTTTGAATTTTTAAAAAGGTTTCCATTGTGGCTGCATCAATGTACATTGCCACCAAAACAGTGTGAATTCTAGGTGTTCCATATCCTTGCCAGCACTTAGTATTTCCATGTTTTTTCACTGTAGCCATTGTGATGGATGTACAGTGATATTGTGGTTTGAGTTTTTATTGCCTTGTGTTTCAAATCATTGTGGTATCTTCCCAGAAGAGACAGACCAGCCATGTTGTTGCAGAATTTAAGAGACAGAAGCTATGGATGAAACAGGAGAATTTTATTCCAGGATTTTAGGTGCACACCAGCCCAGCAAACTCATGTCCAAAGCCTTAGCCCTGAACAGAGGAAAAGCTCTAGTTTTTATATGTTTGGTCAAAGGGGGTCATCCTACCTAGAGGCACATAAATTCAGGGAGAGCAAGCAGAACAAAGACAGTTTTTCAAGCTGTGACAGTTGCAACTTAGCATATCCCAGTGGTCTTGGAGTAAAAGCAGGATGCTATGAGAACAGGAGGTTGTAAAACTTAACTTATAGGAACAAAGTTGCTGATTTTATCTGTATTAGAACAAAGTACAACAGCCGTATTGCTTAGATTGGGGAAACTTGTTTTTCCTCTTTGTAAAGTCCTGCTTTAATGTCAGATCTGAGACCTACCAGTAGGTATATTGCTCAGTTGGCTGCAGCATTTTACATTCCCATCTAATTTATAGGGGTTCCAGTTTCTCCAGATCCTTACCAAGTCTTTGTTTTGATCAGTCTTTTATCCCCCATGGTGCAGGGGATGGAATCTGCATGTGCTAAGCCAATGCTCTACCACTGAGCTACACCCCGGCCTGTAGAAGTCTTTCATAGTGAAGCTGTTCTACATACAAATTGATAGCATCATTAATTTACATTGTTCTAATGAGTAATGATGTTAATCATCTTTTTGAGCATCTGATGAAGTTTGTGTTCAGTTTTTGCCTTTTATTCTTTTTTGTGTTCCTTAAAATTCAATCCAGAGGCCTTCTACCACTGAACTACATCCCCAGAACTTTTTATTTTGAGACAGATTCTCACTAAGTTGCCCAGGCTGGCCCTGAATTTGTGGTCTTCCTACCTCAGCCTCCTGAGTAGCTGGCATTACAGGAGTGGGTCACCATGTCCACCTGGCTTCTTTTCCCTATTAATTGGGTCTTTCTTTTTTTTTTTTTCTTGAGCACTGAGGGGTTTTTATATATTCTGAGTATGAGTGTATTATCAGCCCATCATCCTTGCACAGATTTTTCTCTGTCTCTGAATTGTCTTTCCATTCTTTGTGTCTGTTAAAGAGGAGGACTGCCTATTTTGATGAAGTCCAATCTTTCAATTTGTTCTTTTATGCTCCATGCCTTTGGTGTAGTATCTTAGAAATCCTTGCCTAACTAAAGGTGACAGTGATTTTTTTCCCGTTTTCTTCTAGAAGTTTTACAGTTTTAGTTTTTATTTCTAGTTCTATCATCTATTTTGAGTTAATTTTTAAATATGATGTGAAGTTGATTTTTTCTTTCCACATAAATATCCAAATATTTCCACAGCATTTCCTTAATAATACTATCCTTTCTCTACTGGGTGTACTGACACACTGTGTTAGCCAACCTGACTCCATCTTGTGCCTCAATGTCATTTTATACCTGTGCTTGAACAAAGTACTTGCACTTGAACAAAGTGCCCCAAACCCCCACATCCTGTTTGGCAGTAAACTTGCTGCAGTTGAAGGATGTTTTGTAGCTCACCTAGTGTGTGTGTGAAACTTCCTTGTACCCCCTCCCCCACTAACTTGGCATGGTTCTGCTTCTGTAAGATTCCGCATGCTCTCCCCTGAGCCCTCCCCAACTGAAAGCATGATTTAAAAGGAGAAATCAAACCACCTCCCATTGCCAAGTGAACTTTCTGGCCACTAGCCCCTCCTTGGCCACCAGGTATAATAAACGGGCTCAAATCTGGCACAGAGTATGGCCCATCTCTATTGTTCTAACTCGCTCATCCACAACAACACACCTGTAATCCCAGCTACTTGGCAGGCTGAGGCAGAAGGATCACAAGTTTAAGGCACCCTGGGCAATTTAGCAAGACATTAAAAAGGGTTAGAGATGTAGCTTAGCACTACCTGGCTTCAGTCCTCTGAACTGTAAAGCAAAACAACAACAAGAGATATCCTTTCTCCATACTTTGACTTTTGTCAAAAATCATTTGTCCAGAGGTAGAACTCCTGGTATGGTCAAGTTAGGAGCTCATCAAGTCATTTCCTCTTAAAAGCAACTATAATCTATAAAAAGTTGTTTTTAAAAAAGCATTTTAGTACACTAGAAATCACCAAAAGCACATCAAATTGAAGATTCATTGATGGGGAAACTGCCAAACATGGGTAAGAACAGTGGAGTCTGACATTTGAACTCACAGCTGCTTCCATCCCTACCTCTATGGACATGGTAGTTGTGTTAATTTTTTGTTGCTGTAACAAAAACCCTCAAATACCTTAAATGAGGAAAGGCTTATTTTGGCTCACAGTTTCAGAGGTGGCATTCCGTAGTCACTTGGTCCGTTTGCTTAGGTCTGTGACAGAACAGTATACCATGGAAGGAGCATATGACAGAAAAGATATGTCCACCACATGAAGGCCAGAAAGCAAAAGGAGAGAGAGGAAGGCCCCAGGGTCCCAATATCCCCTAAATATGCCCCATTGACCTCATTTCTTTCCACTGTGCCTCATCTCCATTAGGGTTTCACCACCTTTCAACAATGTCACAGGTTGGTGACCAAGCCTTTGGGGGATATTTAAGATCCAAACCAGCCAGATGTGGGGATATCATGCCTGAAATCCCAGTAACCTGGGAGGCTAAAGTAAGAGGATCACAAATTTGAACTCATTCTGGGCAACTTAATGACAGTGAGCAGAAATAGCTGGACACAGTCGTGCACTGTTGTGCCCAGATCGCAAAGTCCCCAAAGACCACCAAGGAGCTGTTTCCGATGTAAACACATGAGGGTCGTTTATTCAAGCTCGAGCAGGGGCACTCAACTGTCACCGACGCAACGGATCAGGATTGAGAGCCCCGAATTTCAAATCAGCAGGGTTTTTATTGTGGCTACCGCAAGGTTTGGGGATATTCCATTTAGCAGTTACATGATTGGTTGATATTTAGCAAGCATGGGGGGTTGAGGGGTGGCTACATGTAGAGTTTATGGGAAAAAGGAACAATCAGCACATTGACAGAATGTTCTATAGATAATGGGCCCGGGAGCATCTGTTTTCTGGGCAGACAGAGGATTGAGTTAGGAGCTGT